AACATAATAAAATTGGGATTTGGGATTTGGGATTGGGATTTGGGATTTGGGACAAGTAGTTTTGCCAGCAAGTATAGCTTTGTGGCGATTTTACCCCGATCATTATTTCACGTGATGTGATTATCACTGGGTTAACTGTTCTTCAAGTGTCCCATTAATTGTTTAAGGTTTCACCCTATCAAATTATATATATTTTTTTAGAAAAACTAAACTGATTTGTATCAACAATCAAGTATTCTTAAATTTTAAAGCGATTTGATTAGTGTAATGCAAGTTTCGGTAAAACCATATCAAATTCAAATTTGGAAAAAGCATTCCAGTCAGACCTCTCTAAGTGCATGCCCTTGGACCACATTTTAATAACGCGCATTTAGAGAATAATAAGAAAAAACGCATTTATAGAGGTCAAGCTTATATTTGGGCCAGAACCTAAATGTGCATTTAGGGAGGGTGCGCACTTATAGAGGGTGCACATAGAGAGGTCTGACCGTAATTTGATTTGTCAATAAAATCACGGGTTTACAATATCACGTGATCCTCGAAGTCGACTTGGAGTCGACTTTAAAGGACTCGACTCGGAGTCGGAAAATTCGAGTCGTTTAACACCCCTATCTACCATCAAATATATTGTCCAATCAGATTTAAAGCCCGCTATGTTATTTTGGTACGTGTCAATAAGATGAATCACGTGATTGGTGCGTGTCCCGCAAACTTGCCGTTTAATTGGTTATTAGGCCTGAAATATTATTGTTAGGTGCCGAATATGGTCGCATCTAAAATTTGTTGAAAAATTTAGAAAAATTTATATAAACTAGTCTAATAAATACAATTTAATTTAAAAGTTTCAAAGCTATAACTTTTAAAATTAAAAAGTTAGAGGGGAGCAACCGGTAGTATATTTAAATAAAATTGGCTCACTTCAACTTGATTCAGAATGTATTTATGCCTTATAACTACAACAAAAAAAGCTACGTACCCCTTCGTTAATTAGATTTATTAAGTGGGTTGTTTCATTATTTAATTTACGTGAAAAATCCTGTGCCAGGTTCCATTAAAAAATGCGTACTTGTGAAAAATCCAATAATTGTCGAAAATTCAAAGAAGGAATATCTGGCCAATTTCAGCATTTAGGTACATTCCTAATTATTTGTTAGATTATTTCTTAAGATTTCAAACTTAATGCTAATTTTTTAGTGAAGGTATCTCAAGATCTTTTTGTAATGTTTGACAATTTCAAATTTTATAGATTTGTTCGACAATTTCAAATTTTATAGATTTCTGGAATTTGAAAATGTATTTGAATTATGAGGTTGCGTGTATAGTAGATATCTTTTTAATTTTTGAAGGAATTTAGGCAAATATTAGACTTTTGATAGTCATTTAACGAAGGATCGACAAAACCTGGCTCAGATTGTTTTATGCATTTAGCATAATAATCTGGCTTGTTATAGCACTCAGTTGCTTTTAAGTACCAGTTCCTGAAATATAACTCAGAAATATTCTATTTAATGCGTACTAATCACAATTAGTCAATAACTAGAAGTGAAAATGGTCTATTAATAGGTTATTATCTACTGTATCATTTAGTAACAACGATCGGTAGGTTATGATAATAACCGATCAACAATATACAGTAATAGCAATGAACGATCATGATTAACCATTGCCCTATTCAAGTGTACGATAGTTAAAATTATACAGTATTTATTATAGATTATAAAATTAAATATACTAAACTCCACATTACAATCCATAAACTTAAAACTACACTCATTAAACCATCATTATTCCGATTAAACAAACCATAATGACTCAATCTTCTTGCTTTACTCTCGTCAAACGCAAATTCGGCGGGTGCAACAGAAGTGACAGTTTGCAAGACAATTAAAGTACTTGGTGGATAGTAAGTTTCATAGGTTGTTAATTCATCATTATTGAACTCAGTAACAGTAGTTGTATATCCTGGAACATATACTGTAACAGTTACTGTGACTACTGTAGTTACGAATGCAGTTATTGTATTGCTATCGTAATTTTGTGGTATGATAGTCGTGATATGATGGTCATGATTTTCTGAAGTTACAGTTTTACCACTATCTTGTTTGGTGCTTTAAAGAGAGACAAACAAAAGGTATAAATTAGATTTTGTAATTTTTTAAAAAATTTGTCTTAATTGTCATAAAATGAAGAGTCGAATTTAGAACATACTCAGTTTTACAGTATGGATTATTTGAACAAACATCAGTAGTAGATGTATAATGTTTGGTAATAGGAATTTTTTGCGCAGAGTTCGAAGGTTTTGGAGAATTCGAAGGTTTGAGAACAGGAGGAGGGGCATATGTAGTTCGCAGACCAGGATGAATTGAATTTGACCGAGGCGGTTGAACATTTTTTGACCGAGGTAGTTGAGATGCAATTGGATTTGTCCGAGGTAAATTTGACCGAGGCGGAATTGACTTTGGTTGAGGCGGAATTGACTTTGGTTGAGGCGGAATTGACTTTGGCTGAGGCGGAATTAATGGTTGGGTCTGTGGAAGTCGAGTCGGTTGTCGAGTTGGTTGTTGTTGTGCTTGTAGTGGAGTTTGCTGTTGAGTTGGTTGTGGTGGTGGCCGAGTTGGTTGTGGTGGTGGTCGAGTTGGTTGTGGTGGTGGTCGAGTTGGTTGTGGTGGTGGTCGAGTTGGTTGTGGTGGTGGTCGAGTTGGTTGTGGTGGTGGTCGAGTTGGTTGCCGTTGTGGTTGAGGTTGTTGTTGTTGTCGAGTTGGTTGCCGTTGTGGTTGAGGTTGTTGTTGTCGAGTTGGTTGCTGTTTTGGTTGAGGTTGTTGCCGTGACCGCTGTGTGACTGGATTGAACGTTAAAATGTTAATATGCACGTAGTAGCTAATATTGTAGTCATTTAGAAGTTGATGCAGTTTAACAGATGCATGTATACGTACCTGCAAATCTTATGAAAATTGCCGTAATGAGTAATAACATTACAATGTGAGTCCGGCTACAAAATAATTTGGGTCTCATTTTTATTTTATTTTATTTTATACGTATCAATTGGTGTTTTAAGAAAAAAAATACGCAAATTAAGAAAATTCTAATGCAAGTAATTTTTTTGTATGAATAATAACTATTTTCGTGAAAGAGTTTTCTTTTGCATTCGTTAAATAATTTCGAATATTTGATTGAATTATTCAAATGACCGTCCTATTTGAGAATTTCTTATCAAATCACTAACCATCATGGCAAATTTTGTTGAAAATTTCTGTGATTGTGACCACCTTATTCTTGAGTAATCCATTTTTAAAAGTAATTGTGACCATCTATTAGTCAATGAAGATATCTCAAAATCTCGGTCTATTTTTAGCCGGAAATACTGAATGTTTGTTTAAGGAAAATCTTCAGTCACGCCAAGAATTCGTAATTTTAATTATGGCGTTTATTTAACGTGTTACAAGGAAATAAAACCAAATGTTTATCGATTGTAACATGATTAACATATTCAATCTTACAGATTTATACTTAATATGGTGTTTAGTGTTAGCGTTAGTAATCCAAACTTGAATACGTATGTCGAATATAAAGTTCATGAAATCCATGGAATCTTAAAAAAAAACGATGATATATATGTATCGAATTGATTACAGCGCTTTTCAAATTAGTGATACCACCAAAATTTCATGCACCATGTATATTCTGAATCGGGGACACGCAAAAATTTAGACATTTATTTATTGATTTCCAAATCTGTATAAATAATTTCCAAATGTTTGTATGTCCCTGCTGGGAATCAGGAATTTAGAGTTTAATGCTAATATCAAAATACAAGCATGTGATTGGCTAAAAATGACATTATTTGATTCTTAGTATATAGATTTTTTTTTCAAAAGTTGAACAAAGATTTCTCAATATCCACATGGTCAGTTTGATGTTTAGGATTATTTTCGGAAGTTCAAGTAAAATTTTATGATTTCTAATTGAACATTGATAGTTTTATAGCGATAAAAGTTGTTTTTGTAAATTATTATTATTATTATTTATTAGTAAAAGAAAACCCGAAATCACCAATATTAATCTTCAAAATCTGCAGCTAATTCTTGTGTATTGCTAGATATAGTATCAGTATTATAAGAGTGAAAATCAAAAACAATATATTTATAATAGATTTATTTACAAAAAAAGGATTTTGAGTGATGGATGATTTAGTACCAGGGTTCTAAAATTTTGGTAATTAATAGTTTGTTGATAATTACCAGTAAATGACCTATCATTTTGGTGAATTGGCAGTAAATTACACATCGCTATGTTTTTTTACAATTTACAAATAAATTATCTATCGCTATCGCTTTTGATAATTGCCATTATCGGTATATTTACAACCTGGTGCAACGTGCATGCGTACGTACATACTTCACTCTGCTTGCACTTTTCTTATCGTTATAGATAAACAATTGAAGTTATAGAATCTCAAGCACTCTGGTGAAGCCGAAAAAATTTCAAGCTTTGTTCTTAGCTGATGGATGTCAAACATTTTGGGTATTCTATATCGACGGATATTTATATAGTTGGAAGTCTAATGAATACTTCAGATATTGCACTAAGTAATGGTGCTATCGAATTTATTCTAGCTTAGCATTTTACAGTTGATGTAACATTTAACACTATGCGATATGAATAGTCAGTCTTTCTATCTACTAAGAATCATAACACTGCGAATAAGCATAATGAGCCGTAAATTAATCTATTTCAGAAACTTTACAATTGGAATTTTATTTAACAATTAACCTTTTATTTATTTACCTAATACAATAAACAACACTCTCCGTTTCATTCACATGTTTCAAATTTGTTTTTAATTGGACAATTTAATTCATTAATTCATAAGATATATATACTTTGTTCAGATTTTATTTGATCAAATTAAAGCTTATACTACAGAATTGAAAAAATGAAAATTTTATTAAAAATAGTTTAGAAATATAATAAGAAACTGAGAATAAATCAGTTATTATCCACAAAGTATACAATAGTCAAAAATTAAATCCGGATCGGATAATGTTAGAACGTCCACTGGCTACTACGCAACTAGTGACATTCCGTCATTATCCGATCCGATCTATCTGACTCGAATTTAATCTCTGACTATTGTCCACTTTGTGGACAATAAATAACATACACATATTGAGCGAGGGAATTTAAAAATAAATAATTTTTTTTATACCGACCAGAGTATTAAAATATCAATAAAATAGTTAATTGTTTTGAACGTGAATATCTTATCTTAAACACTTCATTAATAAATTTTTTATACTCACCCGAATAAAACGAAATTAATTGTAAAGGTACATAAACTGAAGTAGTTATTTTAAGCATTTAGGTTAACTTGGATTAATAATTTTTTTAAATTAATGAAATGCAAAAAAATTTTGCAAATTTTTATGAACGCGAATAGCTTATTTAAAACACCTAGATTAATAAATGTCGCAGCTGATGCTGAAATTGGCTGATGTTGAAATTTGGGGTTCCAATTTTAAAATATAGACCCTGCTAGAATCCACATATACTCTTTAATTATAAATTCTAACCCTAAATCCTAACCTAACTATAAAAAAAAAGCGGTAAAAAATCACCCAAAATTTGTTTAAAATTTCGTATCAAAATAGGTCCAAATTTCAGCATCAGCCGCGACAATAAATAAATTTTATTATGCTCACCAGGATTAACACGAATAAAGAAACATTAACTAATTAATTAATATTCATGAACTTGAATAGCTCATTTTAAACACTTGGACTAGTAATTTTTTTTGTTTCTCATTTCTTAAATTAACGCGGATAAAATAAAATTAAAGATTCATGAACTGGGATAGTTATTTTAAATGCTAGATTAATAAGTGACCTGAATTGAATTAACATGAGCAAAAAAAAAAAAAAAAAACAGAATTTTCATGAACATAAATAGCTTATTCAAACACGTATATTAATAAATTTTTATTTATAACCACCAGAATTGACATGAATAAAAAAAATAAAGGATAAATATTCATGAACTTGAATACCGGTAGCTCATTTTAAATTAGTCTACTCACTTCCTAAAATTTTTTTTTTTTTTTTTTTTTTTTTTTTTTTTCCCTCGCAATGTCGCGAACAGGCGAATTTTTATTAGGTATTTATATAGT